TATATCTATATCTATACGCTTATTGATATTCTTGCGAACGCACACGGCCTCTTTCCTGATAACAACATTGCTACACTGCAAGTATATATGGATATACGTACACCTTATTTAAAAACGGTAAAACAACAATATAGACGCAGAGCCTGTCGAAGGTATCTCAAGCACACTGACAATCCCGATCCTCGTGATGCTACCCAATACTCATTCTAGATTTAATTCATTGTCACATGCATCGCGTTCATGTACATACATACACGTGTACAAAGTTTATACGTATCATTAAAAGTTTATACGTATCATTATATGTTTATACGTATCATTAAATGTTTATACGTATCACTATATGTTTATGCGTACTATTAAATATTTATACGTATCATTATATGTTTATACGTATCATTAATGTTTATACGTATCATTAAATGTTTATTCGTATTATTAAATGTTTCTACGTATCATTTTATGTTTATACGTATCATTAAATGTTTATACGTATCATTAAATGTTTATACGTATCATTGAATGTTTATACGTATCATTAAATGTTTATACGTATCGTTGAATGTTTATACGTATCATTAAATGTTTATACGTATCATTAAATGTTTATGCGTATCATTAAATGTGTATACATATCATTAAATGTTTATACGTATCATTAATGTTTATACGTATCATTAAATGTTTATACGTATCATTAAATGTTTATACGTATCATGAAGTGTTTATACGTATTTATCATTAAATTATTATACGTATCATTAAATGTTTATGCGTGTTGTTTATACGTATCATTAAATGTTTATACGTATTCGTCATTAAAGGTTTATACGTATCATTATACCACTATGGACACCAGCGAAAAACACAGATACCGAACTCGCCGAAGCCAATCTAGCGCCGGGTGCAATTCTGGTACTACTACCAAATAGTGAAGTGCTGCGACGGTATCTGGACATACTATACGACTTCAAGGCCTACGCAGGCACGCTCTACACACTCCAATTAGTACAACCATTACATCCGGTTACACGCGAGCCAGCACCCGAACCACCACCCAGTCCCACGCCGGTATGACTACGCTGTATATATTTACTTTGTTTTGATATATGTATATATAT